AGAGAGAGAGAGAGAGAGAGAGAGAGAGAGAGAGAGAGAGAGAGAGAGAGAGAGAGAGAGGAGTAGAATTCTATGCTGCTCATGTCAATTCTGGACTGTAAAACTGATTTGTCTCTTTCTAAATTGATAAAGAATGATTTTGTATGGCACCTCTTGTCTGTGCGAGCTTCTGCCCGCACTGGGAATGCTAGTAAGTATTTATACTGCTGAGTTTATGGTTGCGGACTCCGGATGATACTAACATATTACCATGCCCGACTGTGTGGGAAAATTGTGCCCTTGGCCTGGGCTGTTGTGTGCGTGCACGTGCTTGAATCTGCAGGGTAAAACTGAAATTTGTAGATTGGGGTTTGAACTCTGTGTTGTCTAGTTTTCCTCTGTGATCCCCTCATGCTGATTGATTGTAGAAACCAACCACGTTGTCTCTCAGCTCGGCGATTCTTGTAGATTATCTTTTGCTACCATCTTCCCCCGAATTGAATGCACGGTTATTATCGCTGCATCTATCCTGAAAAGTTGGCCCAAATACAGCTACAATGGCCGTGCGTTCTATTTGGCCGGTAGACAGTAGTGGCTTGCATGTAAGTAGTGTATCTGGATTTCTGCTGTGAATTGTGGGTGGTCAGCAGAGAGAAAAAGAAACTATCAATCGTTACTGATAAACTGTGGGTTTTCGTTTTCTTGTGTCTGCATAATGTTCGTTGTCTGGGGTTGGCAGTTGTGGGTGTGGTGTGCCGAATGCCGGAAAAGCGCGTAGCAGTATCCAACCACTGAAGTCTGCTTGCAAGGGGCGTGGCGCCGTTTTAACAGTAGCAGCAGCAGCAGCAGCTGGAGGAGGAGGAGGAGGAGGAGGAGGAGGCTTTTTCTGTTCTTCATGATGCTCGTTGTGTGCGGATGGCGGTTGTGGGTGTGACGTGCTGGGTGCCGGGAAAGCTCGCAATGTACTGTGGAAGTCTGCATGCAAGGGGTGCAGCCTCTTTTCGACATATAAAGCAGAAGGAAGAGGAGGGGGAAGAGAACGCAGAAAGGTAGCAGAGGAAGACGAGGGTAAGTGGGGAAGAGAGAAAGACAGGTTGAGCGGAGTCTACCCTACCGTGCGTCTGAACATTTTCTAAAGGTCTGCAAGTCGCTGGTTGATTGGGAGATTGAGTGGTCTGCTGCCTGGAGGAGTTACTGGCTGGAATGCCTGCCTGCCTGCTTCTCTCAACAGAACATAAGCCTACACCAGCCCCCCCGTGTAGTTGAAAGGCAGATGACTGGTCGGTTTGGGGGAGGTGGGCGCGCATCATCACCCTCACTTCTGTCAGTCAATGACAGGTAACTAGCCAGTGGATAAGGGAGGGAGGGAAGGACGGAGGGAATAAGGAAAATTTTGGGTGGTTGGCACGTCAGCAAGAAAAGTACTTCCTGGGTATGATGGATGATGTGATTGCGCACAGATCCAGTCTAATTCCATGCTGTTGTGGTAACGCAGACCGTATACGTATTTGGAGTTGAGCAGGGATTCAGACTCTCTATCCTGATTTGACTCTGTGGTCCAATCCAATTCCCATCTGATGTGGCTGAGATCCATATTGAGTGGTTCGATCTTGCACCTGATTTGATCCCAGTTGTACGTTCTTTTGATTGTTGAAGTCATCATGGAATGGCAGAGTAGGAGAAGGGTGGGTGGGAAGTTGGCTGGAGTTGTTGGTGGCTGGCTTCGCCCCGGGATCGGGTGCAATAGTTTGGCCGGAGGCTCTAGCCGCACTGCCACCTGTTTGGAACCTCTGGATAGGAATCTCTTTCACACATGCCGCGCGGCAGCTGTCAGCTGTGCGAGCTCTGGTCGCTGCGAAGAGAATAAATTTCAACATCGTGGGCTTCCCTCCGTCACTGCTGGGCTTGTTGGTGCTGATGGCATCAGAGGCGGGAATGTCGGCGGAAGGACGGATTCTGTCCAAGCGTCGCCAGGAGCTACGGCTATTGGCAGATTGTTCGCAAGGCTCAGGCCTTCTGGCAGGGAAAGAAGGCAGCTTGTGAAGGAGCTGATGTTGTTGCGGGCTGGCGCCTTTCGCTCCTTGGCCCCGTTTCGCCGTTCTTTCTCAGGTATGGTTAACCCGATCAATGAGGAGCCATGGAGGGATGTTATGGACAAGATTCGCAACATCGGTATCTCGGCGCATATCGACTCGGGGAAGACGACCCTTACGGAGCGGGTGTTGTACTACACTGGCCGCATTCACGAAATCCACGAGGTCAGAGGTAAAGATGGCATCGGTGCCACCATGGACTCTATGGACTTGGAGAGGGAGAAGGGGATCACCATTCAATCGGCGGCCACGTACTGTAGGTGGGGAAACCATCAGATCAATATCATCGACACCCCTGGACACGTCGACTTCACCATTGAGGTGGAAAGAGCCCTGCGTGTTCTTGATGGAGCTGTATTGGTTCTTTGCAGTGTTGGTGGGGTGCAGAGTCAAAGTATCACCGTCGATCGGCAGATGCGTCGCTACAACGTCCCTCGCTTGGCCTTCATCAACAAGCTAGATCGAACGGGGGCTGATCCTTGGAAAGTCATCTCTCAGCTCAGGAGCAAGCTCCGTCTGAACTGTGCGGCTGTGGTCTTACCCATAGGATTGGAGGGGAATTTGGAAGGGCTCGTCGACCTGATCGGTCGCAAAGCGTACTACTTTGAAGGAAACCATGGGCAGAACGTCACTGAGGCAGAGGTACCTGCAGGTATGCTTGGTCTTATCGCCGAGAAGAGGCATGAGCTGATTGAGAAAGTTGCGGATGTGGACGATGACCTGGCAGAGAAATTCCTGACTGATGAGGGCACGATAACTGCTGAGGACCTCAAGAGGGCGATCCGCAGGGCAACGATTGGGTTGCACTTTGTTCCTGTTTTTATGGGGAGCGCCTTCAAGAACAAGGGTGTCCAGGTCCTCCTCAATGGAGTTATTGATTACCTGCCCTGCCCCACAGAAGTTCAAAATTTCGCTCTGGATCAGAACAAGAACGAGGAGAAGGTCCTCCTGTCTGGTTCGCCGGAAGGACCGCTTGTCGGGCTTGCGTTCAAGTTAGAGGATGGGCGGTTTGGGCAGCTCTCCTATCTGCGCCTTTACGAAGGCACGCTGCACAGAGGTGATCCTGTCGTCAACTGCAATTCGGGAAAGAAGACGAAGGTCCCAAGATTGGTGCGCATGCATGCCGACGACATGGAGGATATTCCCAGTGCACAGGCCGGTGAAATTGTGGCTCTGTTCGGCATCGACTGTGCATCGGGTGATACCTTTACCGACGGCTCTGTCCGGTACACGATGACCTCCATGCTCGTCCCCGACCCAGTTATGTCCTTGGCCATCACTCCAGCAACCAAGGATGTTGGTCCACAGTTCTCGAAGGCGCTAAACCGGTTCCAGAAGGAAGACCCTACTTTCCGCGTAAGTTTAGATCCTGACAGCGGGCAGACCATCATTTCAGGAATGGGTGAGCTGCATCTCGACATCTACGTAGAGCGGATGCGAAGGGAGTACAAGGTCGACGCAGTTGTTGGAAAACCGCAGGTTAACTTTCGGGAAACGATAACTCAGCGTGCGGAATTCGACTATCTCCACAAGAAGCAGAGTGGAGGCCAAGGTCAATACGGTCGGGTCATTGGTTATGTGGAGCCGCTCCCAGAAGATTACGGGAAAAAGGTAGAGTTCGTCAACATGATGATTGGACAGGCCATTCCTCCAGGGTTTATTCCCGCCTGCGAGAAGGGCTTTATGGAGGCGGCGAACTGTGGATCATTGATCGGGCATCCCGTTGAAAACATCCGTATTGTGTTAACAGATGGGGCATCTCATGCTGTGGATAGCAGTGAGTTGGCCTTCAAACTCGCGTGTCTTTACGCGTTCCGGCAATGCTATCTCAAGGCGCGGCCAGTCATCCTTGAACCCATTATGCTCGTGGAAATTAAAGCGCCTATCGAATTCCAAGGGACCGTCATCGGCAACGTGAATAGAAGGAAAGGCTTGATTGTTAGCAGTGATCAAGACCATGACGATGTGGTGATAAACGCGCATGTTCCGCTCAACAACATGTTTGGCTATTCCACAGATCTACGGAGTATGACTCAGGGCAAAGGAGAATTTACAATGGAATACCACAGTCACGGAGTTGTGCCGCAAGATGTTCAGGCTCAACTTGTCAAGGACCTGGGCAAAAAGATTAGCTGAGCGGTGCTTTGTTCGTCTCTAGCTTTGTTTTTTTATCTCTTTTTAAGTTTTTCTCTCATTCCTTGCTTCTACCTTAGGTGTACTTCTCCTCTGGTTTCCTCACGACTCTTTGCCTTGCCCCCTTTGTTTCCCCCCGATGTTAGATATATCTATATACATGAGGACAGTCGCTGTGTCCGTCTCTCAGATGCCGTTGCCCTGCTTGGCAGCTTGGCAGGCCACTTGATCTATTCATTCAATATTGTCGAACGTGTTGCTTGCAGAAGTTTCTCAACTTCAAAAGAGGTACTGCTTTTCTTGTAATATTGAAGCTTGGTGACTGGGATTCTTTCCGAAGGCGCATCTTTGTTTTTTTTTTCATCGTCGTTGTTGACCGAGGTCATAGTGAAATTTAAAGTAGTGGTGGTTTGTGCATTGGCAATCCTTCTTTTCATGTGGTTTGAAGCTAGGAAGATTGACACGCCCAGCGGTGCACCCGGGCCTGACGCCTGGGGTACATGGGCCAAATCTGGGCTCATTTCTTTTTTTTGGAGAGTTGGCTGTCAAGGGGGAAAAGGGGGGTATAAATTAGTTTTAAAGGGGTTGAACCACCTGCCTCCCCGCCACGAAAAACCTTGGGGGACCGGAAGCATAATTTCATGAAGGCTACCGGTACCAAAGTATGGAGAACCGGCACAATGGCAACAACGGAAAATGCGTGCAACTGCCGCCGTGATTGTTTTCGCTGTTGAAAATATTTTTCAATTTTTTAAAATATTTTTCCTGGAAAGATCACGACCTAATCTACAGGCCCTCCAACTTTCAGGATTCTTGACGCATTCTTCTGAGCGCGAAAAATCACTGAAGTTAGGATACTTTTTCCGTTGGCCCACACGTCCAAGAGTGGCAAAAATGGAAAATGCACCGAATTGGCACGGCGACCATTTCAGCATCATTTTTTTTTGTTTGAACTTTTCAAATATTTTTCCTGGGAAGATCAGGTCCTAATCCGAGGGCCTTCCAATTTTCAGGATCTTCAACGCATTCTTCTGAGCTGGAAAAATCACTGGAGTTAGGGTACTTTTCCCATTGGCCCACATGTCGTGGAGTGGCAAAAATGGAAAATGAACCCAACCTGCACAGCAACTATTTCAGGGTCAACTATTTTTATTTTTATTTTTGATATTTTTCCTAGAAAGGTCACGACCTAGTCTACGGGTTCCCAAATTTTCAGATTTTTCTGATGATTATTTTAAGCGCGAAAAATCACCAAAGTTAGGGTACTTTTTTGTTGCAGGACTGGACCCGCCGGTAACCAACGATCGCCGCCCTTCCGAAAAACCTGGCCCTAACCCACCGGAGGCAGGGTTTTGGGTGGGGGCACTGGTGGTTTAAAGGGGTTTCAAGCGGGGTGCCTTAGTGTGATTCTGGTATGGTCTTTTTTTATCTCTGATTCTGTGTGGAATATAAATGTGAGGGACGCTGGACCCGGTTTCCAGCACAGAAGGAATGTTTTTTTTTTCGTTTAAGAAAACAAGTGGACCCCGCCACGGCGTAGCCGTGGCGCACAGCAACACTCGCTGATGGCGTCTTATTTTTGTTTCATGTCTCTCTCTCTCTCTCTCTCTCTCTCTCTCTCTCTCTCTCTCT